GGGGGGGGGCGGGGGAGAATAATTAGCTTCAGAAGCAATAGCCAAATTATACTGAGAAAAATGGTACCTCCAAAGAAAATAGTCCCCAATTTACTTACCTAGACTTTCCACAGGAATTAGGACTCTCCTTACTTTTGCACTCAAGGTTTATACCCAAATTCAGAGAACTTCATGCCATAGGAAAGATGGTGAGTCCCAGTAGCACCAGCAGCTGTTACTGCAGCACAGAGCAAAGTAACACTCTTCCTTAAGAGACTCTTGTCCAAGGAGCCCAGTGCAGAGGCCTTGTTTAAATGAAATACTTTTTAAAAAACATTTTTACCCTCAAGCTCTTCTGGATTCTGGGAAGAAATCTCCACGAGGTTGCTCAAAGTTATTATGATGGAAACTGCTTTGAAACTGTTTGTAAATAGGCTCAGCAGAGATCCCAACATCTCAGGAACCATTGACTTCACAGCCCTGTGTGTTTTGCTAAAGCCCAAGATGGATTGGCCCAAATAAATTGATTAGTCCATTCAAGACCATCCACCATTCCCCTACCCCAAATAGAAACTAACCACCTCCTTTGACCTCTTTTGGTAGCTAAGAAGTTTATCTCCTTTTGGGGGGGAGGGGGGTGTATTTTTGAGACAGAGTCTCCCTGTAGCCCCAGCTGGCATGGAATTCGATATGTAGGCCAGGCTTGTCTCAGACTCACAGAGATCCACCTGCCTCTGCCTCCCAAGTGCTTAGGTTTAAAGGCGTGTTGCCACCACTCCAGGCGAAGTTTTATCTCTTACTGTGTCCTGAGATGGTAAAATTTTAATATTCTCCTTGGATATTTGAGAATGTTTGATCTTTAAGCCATAAGTGGATATTTACTCCAAACCAAATTCTAAACCAAAGTGCTTGGTGTAAGGAATAAACCATGTTTATTCCTTTGTATCCATTATCCATTCAAACTACCAGTATGAATATAAACATTGCAAGGGGCTGGAGAGATGGCTCAGTGGTGCCTGCTCAGCACCTACATGGTAGCTAACAACCATCTGTAACTTCAGTTCTAGGGGATCTGATGCCCTCTTTGGACCTCTTTGGGCATTGCACAACATGGGTGCCTTTACATACATCCAAGCAATACACTTATACACATAAAATAATAAAATAATTTTTTTAAAAAGAAAATACTCCAAAGTGTTCATATACCATCACCACCCATTTTCATCCTCCAAATATGCAAGTAGCCCCAGCAGTCTTCCTTAATAATAACTTCATATTTTGAAGAACCACTTATTTTTCTGAAACTATTTCTAAAGTCAAGATCAAATGTGGAAAAGCCAGTGGTGGGATTATGGAATCAATCATCAAAAGACAAATTCTTTTTTTTTTTTTCTTGTCTTTTTTAAAAAGAAAATTGTTTATTGTGGCTGGAGAGATGGCTCAGTGGTCGAGAACACTGTTCTTGCAGAAGACCCGGGTTCAAATCCCAGCACCCACATGGCAGCTAACAACTGTCTATAATTCCAGTTCCAGGGGATCCAACAGCCTCTTCTGTCTTCTAAGGCCATTGCACAACACGGGTGCACTTACCTACATGCAGACAATACATGCATACACATAAAAATAATTTTAAAAATTTAATTGCTTATTTTATGTGTATGAGTGTACTCCTTGCATGTAAGTGCACCTGTGTCATGCAATGCCTGAGGAGGTCAGAGGAGGGCGTTGGATCCCCTGGAACTGGAGTTACAGATGGTTGTTAGCCACCATGTGGGTCCTCTGCAGCCAGTGCTCTTAACTGCTGAACCATCTCTCCAGTCCTTTTTTGGTCTTTTTGAGATAGCATCTCCCTGTAGCCCCAGCTGGCCTGGAAGTCCCTATGTAGGTCAGGCTGGCCTTGAGATCTGCCTGCCTCTGCCTCCTGAGTGCTGAGATTAAAGGCATGTGCCACCATGCTCAGCTCAAAAGACAAATTCTGTCTACATGAAACTCCATCCTATTTTATCCTATCCTGCAGCAATAATTGTTTCTATATGTACATTATTTGTTACATGTATTATTTACATTATGTTATGTATGTTCCAACATTTTCCCATGCATTTGCCAATTTATGCTTTCAGAAAATTGTGCCATGGTTTGTTGACCAAAAACCATTATTTCATACTGAAAAATATGTCATGTATCTGTTAATTCAACAAATATTCACTGCCTACTTTTCATGTGCCGCACACTGTTCTAGGTGCTAAGAATACATTAATAAAATCCCTGAACATATGAAACTTACACTCTACTAAGAAAGAGACATGAAATAAAATAAATTTTTCCATCATTCATTAACAGTTTCAAAACTTTGTGGTGTGAAACAATGATTTTATTATCTCTCATGATTCTGGGAGATATATGAGTTACATGGTTCTCACTTGTCTTATGCAATGGTTGATTCTGAAGTCATCTCAAAAGCTTCTTTCCATGTCTGGAAGTTGATGCTGACTGCTGGACTGGGCCACAGACTGGGGCTGTTGGCCAGAATATTTACAAGTGGCCTTTCCATGTGACCTTTACTTCATCATATCATAATGGCTAAGATTGTTTTAAGATGCCCAGGCAGAGATGACTTTGTAATCCAGCCTTGGAGGTTACATAGCATTACTTCCTCAGGCCCACTTCAAGGTGGAGAAAATATAGACACACAGACATAGGCACAGATGCACAGACACACAGACACACACGCACACATTTTTCAAAGACATAGTGAACAATCACTTTGAGGGAGGAAAAAAAAAACATGGAACAGGAAAAACACCTGCTTCCTAGAAATACAAACTGCCATGCGGTAAATGTGTAATATGTGATGTGGTAAGTGCTATGGAGATGGGTAGGATGGGGGACTGGGAGGCTGGTGCAGGGGAGGGTGAAGTTGCTATTTTATGTGGAGCTGCTAGAAAAAGCCTCATTAAGGTAACATTTGGACAAAACCTCAAGAAAATGAAGCAAAGTTCAGGGTTTAGTTCTAAAGAAAGCAAAACCACTGGAGGATCTTGAGGCAAGGAGTAACATGTATTACTTTTAAAGATCACTCTGAACCTGGTGGCACATGCCTTTATTCCCAGCTCTGGGGAGGCAGAGGCAGGCAGATTACTATGATTTCAAGGCCAGCCTGGACTACATAGAGAATTAATGGTCAGCCAAGGATATATAGTGAAACCCTGTCTAAAAACAACAACCAAAAAAATCATTTTTCAGGACTGGAGAAATGACTCAGTAGTTAAAAGCACTTGCTGCCGTTGCAGAGAACTTGGGTTCAGTTCCCAGCCCCCACATGATGGCTTGACAACTGTACCTAACTCCAGTTCCAGGGGATTCAATGGCCTTCTGACATCCTCTGGCGCTGTAGCACATGGTGCACATATATGCATGAAGATAAAACACTCATACACATAAACAAAAAATTTCAGAGAGCCTTAAAAATCAGTCTGGCTGTTTGTTTGTGGAAGTTAGCTGGTGAGGACAAGGACAGCTGCAAGGAAGCTGTTAAGGAAGCTATAGCAACCATCCATGTGAGAGAAAACAGTGGCTTGGACTAGGGTGGAAACCACTACTCCAGATGAGTGAGTTCTGTGGTTTGTTGTTGATGTCTCTATAACTCATTTTCCTGTCATTTATTCTGTGCCCTGAGAGGCACTTTTGACCCATAATAACTAACAAAATTGTGTGAGTGATGGTGCTATGACTGCCACAAAGATGGGGGTGGGGTAGGGGGTAAAGAGGACTTTGTGCTGAATGTGAAAATGGGAGCTTTGCAACCTGGAGGCATCTTCCAGGAAATGGATGAGCAAACAAAGAGTAGAGATCAACAGGTAATTAGGGAATGGAAAAGGGTGCTATGGCCCACTGACCTAACCATGCCACAGAGTTCAGAATGAATGGTTCAGTGATGGGTAGCAGGTGTACAAAGGCATTTTGTAACTTCAGAGGCAGTTTAAAGTGCCACTTCTTAGCACTAGAGTCCCTTTCCAAATGGACTATACAAGTTCTGGCATGGCTGCATGTAATTGTAAACCCAGAGATCGGGAAGTGGAGACAGGAGGATCAGGAGTTCAAGGTCATCTTTAGCAGCATAGTGAGTTTGAGGACAGCCTAGAAGAAAAAGAACTACACAGTGCATGTATTCTCTAGGAGAGGGGATATTCGTATTTATTTGGGCAGTGCTGGGCTGTTCTGCTGTCATTGGTTTCTAGAATGAAGAACAGAACTGAGAGCTGTGGTGTCTCATTTGAATCATCTTGTTAATGATGGGAAACAAAAGCAGAACAAATAAGCTGAAGCAAATCCTTAGAAATCAATTCGTGTTTGCCTCTATGGGGTCCTGGACAGGAGTCTGGACGCCAGTGCAGCTGGCTACATTGAAGAAATTGGATCCTAGATGTGACACCCCTAAAAATCCTACTACAATCTTTAGTGACCAACTTGGAAACATTGAGCCCTTTTCGTTTGAGTTTCAAAGAAAGAAAATCAAAGGTTAGTGGCAGCCCTGAGTAGGGCTTTTCATAATTAGGTAGCAGGAGGGGGGTTCTTTTCTACCATTTATGGAGTTGGATATTGGATCGACCTGTAGCTTGGAAGACAAACATCTCAGAAAAGGAGAAGGTCACAGGTGTCTTCTGTGGTGGCATTTTGCTGACACAGAGACCTAATCTCTTGTATCTGAGGTTTAGGTTGAGGTTGACCAGTATGAGTTGTGGAAAATGTGTTTGGTGGTGGGGAGTGTCAGATTGTAAGATTAGTCCACACGGAAAGCAGCTTTGAGGAACAATGCCAGCTGTCTCTTGCCTCCTCCTCCCCCTCCTCCCCTCCTCTCCTTCCTCTTCTTTTCTTCCTCCTCTTCCTCCTCTTTCTCCTCCTCTCCTTTTTTCTTTTCTTTCTTTTTCTTTTTTTTTTT